TTTTTTTCTGTGGCGCGTTAATTAGAATTGGTTAAGTGCTAAAGGTCCATTTAAAGTCATCACGACTAAATAGTCATCATGACTATTGATAGTACCCAATAAGTATGTCGGTCCTACTTGCCATAGGTTGACATAAAACATGTTGTTACGACATATTAAACACGTTGTTACGACGTTTTTATGTCGTGTCGACGTAAATCACGTCAACACGACGTCATAAGGTAGGGATATAATTTTGAAACATTTGGCTTGCCATACGCTCATGCTCGCCCCAATAATTCTATCATGCCTAGTTGTAATTGACCAATCAGATTGCAGAATGCCAGGTTTCTAAATCTATTAGATACCTCCCGGGAACACTTATTAACCTCTTGGTTTATTAAATAAAATAAGTGAAACCTGGCGCTCTATGCTTATGCTCTTATTAGTCCATCTGTCAAGCTTGGTTGATTCCTTACTGCCTAGCCTGTTGATACGATGTATGTATGTCAACTGTGGTCTTATTATCAGCAGCTGGTAGTTGTTTTCAAATGTTATGATAGAAGTTGGTTATACACCTCGGTATCGGTTTCTATGGTATTTATTAACCTCGCGACTGCGTCGCTCGGTTAATAAATATCATAGAAACCTCTACCTCGGTGTATAACCTATACTAATAATAATAATTAATAATAATAATAATAATAATAATAATAATAATAATAATAATAATAATAATAATAATAGTAACTTCCCAGTGACACAAATGAAGGATTAAAAATTTCGGGAGGATAGGTCAGATAATGGTAGCACTGGAGGTCTGAGTTGAACATGCCGAAACAGCCTTTACAAACAAACACAAAATTTAGACAGAATACACTAGTTATTATTTAAGAGAAGTTTGCAGTGGAAGGGTTTAACATACATAAATTACATGGACAGAGTGAGTGAAAGGTGCATGCGTGATTAGGGCCGGTTAAAAACAGATTCAAATGTGGACCAGAAGTGATTTTTTGAATAGCTACTCAAATAAAATATGGAAATATCCTGAATGTGACTCTTCAATTCTACGGAGTCGGCGTGATGAAGCAGGGGGTATTGCACAGTAGGACACTCTCCTCTAATTATCTACTATAGATAATTTTCATGGTTTATCTAGTCTAGTTATAATGAGCAATTAATAAACTACTGAACTTCTCTACTTTCAATACTTTCAAAATAAAATACAGAGTAGAAAGCCAAGGCATATATAGAGCATGCAGTAAAGTGTCAAAAATGCAGGCAGCGAGTTCTATTAGATTATAATTTCAGCAATCAAATAGTCGCCTTATATGTATCAGACAGTGACCTAAAATATAATCCTTTATCATGGTATCGTTAAGAAAAAAGTATAATACTTTGTTTGTATGTTCTTGGTAGCATCTTCAGCAGTGATATCAGTCCAAGATGTAAATGTCATGCTATAGACTTTGTTTGGATTCATTAAAAACCCATTATCACTGACAGTACAATCAAGAAGCATAGAATTAACAAATAATTTGTGAAAGAGAATCTCACCTGAAATATCCTTCCAATGCTCCACTATCCAACATCACATAAACTGCAATTGCATCAGATTGGAGACTAAACTATTATAATCAAGAAATTATTTAGTCAAACTGACTACACATACACAATGCTATATCAACTTACTGATACTTCATTTGAAGATAAGGACGTCATATTACTGACTGTTATTTTAGCTTGAGGAAGGTTAGCTTTTGTGAAATTTCGCAGAAAGAAATAAGTTGAAGCAAGAATCTTGTTATCTGAACCATCTACAGCAATTAAAATAACATTTATCACTAGCTAAAAAAATGAGCATAACCTTCAGTTATCCAAATATGGATAAGCATTTCCATGACTAGTAGTATATACTATATCCCAACTGAGTTTGACCCAAGAAAAACTGGAATAACTTTTTATAGGAATGTGGGATAAGGATGAAACTTTCACAGGTTCTTAGTCGCCCAATGCCATCACAGGATCTCAGGTCTTGGGTCTCTCAGCCCTTGGGTACCCTGAGAACCGGGTTCTCCCTATAAACCCAATGGCATACCAAAATGACGTTTTATGACAATTTATCTACGTCATAGTTTACATAAGAACATGTGGTCAAGCGCCCAAACTGATAATTCTTCTTTAAAAGCTAACAGAGCAAGATCTTCTGATAATGATTGCCTTTATAAAGACTAGTTGACTCCAGCAGCTATTGTACTGCTTATCAGAACAAACAAAACCTTTTTAAGAGTGCAATACAGGCCAACTACGCAGCTGTAAAATGTCAGCCATGCTTCTATGAATATCATTATAATACGTCATCAGTGACGTATACCTACATTTTTCAAATTCCAAGCGGCTGTGTCAAACTCAGTTGG